ACTTCAAAAATGAAGAAGAATAATTCTTTCGTATTTTCATATCTCTAGATATATTACAATAGACTTTAATTGCATTGTTCCGTAGTAAAAAAAAAGAATCGGTGAAACACCATTCATAATTTACTTTCAAGCTAACAGTTAATCTGATCACTCACTAAAAATAGCGTTGAATTAAAAAAAAAATGTTGGTATCATTGCGTTCTAATTCTTATTTATATAATTGTGTGTGTGTGTGTGTTTTGTTCTATTTTCTTGTCTTTGAGATTCATTCAAATAATTAACACTTTTTGACCAATGAGAGGCTGTGTATGTATAACATAACGATTTAATCAAAATTTCATTTAGTTAGATTTATTCCCCTATTGAAACTCGTTCTTGTCCAGTAATAAATTCCTTGAACGAGTTTGAAAAGGGAAATAAATTTGTCATACTTTTCATGAATTAAGATTTAGTTTTGTAAATGGAACCCGTTCTTAACTGTAGAAGCCGTACTTACCAAAATACGCTTTTCAAATAATCAAATCTCATTTAGTTGTGTTCTTTCTCATTTTTATCGTTCTTGTCCAGTAATTTCATTCTTGAGTAATACGAATGTTTTAACAAATCCGCATTTAGTAAGATTTATCTTTCTCATTAAAGTTGTTCCAAACGAATTCCAATGTGAAAATAAATTCTGAAAAATTAATTTGTCTCTGTTTTCTGAAAATTATCATATTTGGGTATTATTTCTAAATAATTTGTAAGTAAACGAAATCCGTTCAAACCACGACTAAGTCTTCGTGCACAGAGTTTGAAGTGTCAAAACCCCAGAAACTTGCTCGTAAGCCAAACCAAAGGAAAAGACCAAGGACAGCACGTACGCAGTTAAGATATTAGACTTAGCAAATCATATAAATAAATACTGATCTGTCTTAATAAGTTTAAATTCAAAATATTGTCATTGAAAATATACTCATAATTTCAATAAATTTGTTATCTATATCAAGGCTGTGAAAATCTTGAATAAATTTTGAACTTGACATTCATGAAAAAGGTTATATCGAATATCGTCATAAAGTGTGCATTCCATAAGAAAATGTTTTTCAGTCTCTACACTGCAACTTTCACAAAACTTAATAACATCGTGTTATTCATTTTAAACGTAACACAGTACTAACAACACAATTCATAAACAACAATAAAGATAATCGAATCAATTTTGTTGATTGGATAATTCACGGCTCAGTAGTTGTGTAATCATGCAGTGACACGTGCCCTCATTATTTCATAAGAATTAACATATCTATCTAAGTTCGATTTCAAATTCTACCAAAATTTAACTCTTAAATAATCAGCGTGTAACGAATATATTCATCCATCCTGTGTGCAAATACGATGACTATAAAGGGTCCTGAGTGCACATTGTATGTCCTGAGTGCACTCAGGAGGTCCTGAGCGGTGTTTAGACGTACCCTTGTTTTAACATGATACACCAAAGCCGAATTTTGTATGTTTGCATTACACACTTGCACTGTTTGGATTAACGTATCAATTAGAAGGTAGGTTAGAAAATCACAAAAAAAGAATTAAAGGATAAAACGCCATTATATGGTTTTCCGGATAATGTTTTTTTTTTTGGCAAATATTAAAAAAAAAATCTTAAACTTTTACATACACATAACATTTTAGGTAAACACCTAGAGTTACATATATACCAGCATACATTTTTGATAGGAAAAAAATGCTATCAAAGATACTTCAGAAATGCCTAGCTCCATGCCTAAGAAATATACATCTTTTTTATTGTTCACATTTATTTAACCTCCATTCAACAATGGGAAGGAACATTTGCCTCAGCTGTGAAATGAATTGATTTAAAACGACTTTTAACATATTTACTTCTGTCTTGTCAATATCTTAGCATAGAATATGATCAGAATATGGTCTGTGTATAAAACAAGTATACCGCTGTAATAAAAGCACTAGACAATTTATACATGTAAATATATGCTACTTCCAACAGAATTTTGTTTTGTTTTTAGTTTTTAATTATTTTTTTGTCATTATCGTTTATTTTTTAACCACTAAATTTGCGGTTTTGTGATATGTTCGTGCAGTTTTAACAATTGTCGTCAATAGTGTTCAGAAAGAAGCTATTATAAAATGTGTCAGAACCTTAAATTACACATACATGAACGGAGCTATGATACCATGACAGGTGTACATATGATGTAATTGTGAAATAGCCATTGTAATTGCCAAGTTTTTGATAGTTTAAGGATCATTTTTGATTAGTTGCACGTGCCATCGAATTCAATCTTTATTGACAGAAAATATTAAATAACGAATACATTTATTACTATTATAGGAAGAAAAAGACGAAGAAGAATTATTTGCTATAGTGCAACTTGAATAAACAAATAAATACATAATTATTTTATATTAAATAAAATTGTTATTAAAATGAAAGAAAGGATTAACGCATTTACAAGGATATATACTCGATGCTGAACTTAAATTAGGTTGTATTGTTTTAACGAAAACTTCTATGAGGATCTGGAGGGGGTCCTTTATTTCTGTATTCTTTAATTTTTTATGCCGATTTTCTCTATTCTTTAAACTTTTTGTCTATTATTATCAATTCTTTATATTCAAGCACCTTATTATTCTCTATTCTTTATTTTTTTTTATCCATTTTCTCTATTCTTTATATTTATTGCCACTCATTCTCTATTCTGTAACCTCCTCCCCGCCCCCTCCCATCAACATCTTCTTCTTTCCGATGGTATGTTATTTATAGTTTTATTGTCTCGTCACGGTCTAAGTGCAGTTTTCAGAATATTAACTGCACTCGGAGACATGGTTCCCTGATGCGGCCTTGGTGACTACGCATCACTACGAAATAAAAGCAAAAAAAAAAGAAAAGAAGACAGTTCCCAGCAAACACACGACGTACTCCCGACGTCGGTTAATGGTCGTCTGAACGTCATGTCTTGAGTTTACGTCGTACCAACGTTGTGGGAACGTAAAAACCCAACGTTGGATGCAGACGTACAGACGACGTTATAAAATTACGTCGAATTTACGTCAATTTAGTACCCTGTCAGGACGTAACATTTTATTACGTTGTGACAACGTGCTTATAACTGTCATAATCCGACGTAACATTTTGTTACGTCGTATCAACATTATAATAACGTAGTGAACAAACCCTGTGAATACCAGTGACACATTTAAATCTGGTTTTATTGGATGAATTTTGTGGGTATGAGTCTTCCTGGATATAACATTCACCTTCACTAGAATATATTCACGATTTTTTTCGATTTTCAAAATATCCCCCTTTTTTCCCGCACAGACATAATTTGCACCAAAATGTCCAAGAAAATATTACAAATCCAATTTTAATGTTCTAATATATATATTGTATATGAATATTTATTGTTTAATATATCATTAAAGTTTTGTCATCATTTATAATATTTTAATTTCATAATCGTTCTTTTTACGGTGGAACGTTCAGCAGTACTCGGGTTTTACCGCTGCATACTATGAAAACTCTGAGCATGCGCACTTTCACCGCTTGATTTTTGAAAACAGTGATACAACTTGCAGTGAAATTTAGCTCGATCCAGATTCCAGAACAAGGAAAAAGGTAATATAATAATTGCACATTACGCCAAAAAGGTTCTCCATGATAAAAACAAGTATGATTGAAGAAAATAAAACATCTGTTGCCGTGTTGGGCGCCTCTTTCAAGTCTGTTGTCCGTGACCGTGTTGAAATATGATACTTCTTATTTTACTGTCAATATATTGCACTGATACAAGATATTTTAGCCAAAATTTGTGTTATTTGAATTCATTTTTCAAATTGCTCGATTAATTTGTGTTGTTTTTTTTAAATTAAGATATATGCAATTAACTGTAGAAAGTAAAAAAAAGGGGGTTTCACAGCCACAGGCACTTGACTGACTTGTTTTCTATCCATGCCAAGAGCTACTATCCCTATATATTAAGGCTGCAAGTATCTTTTGCGCTGTAATTTTTTGATAATGTAGGAAGCATAAAAGTCTTATCAATATCACAAATGCGAAGCTAGACATCTCGGCACATTACAAACTTGGCATGTTACAAACTCGGCCTATTAATGATAATACTACATGTATCACTGGGGGTCGTCCTGAACATGCATGAAATATTTGCTACTGGACGTTAAGCAACCAACAAGCAATGTATCACTGGGCCTGACATGGGAATAGACAATTGTGCCAATAAAGACTGTCGTAGATAGGTGTCACAGAAAAAAATTAAAATACCCTTCCAAGACGTCATAAATATTTGGGACTAGGTCGTCGTAGATAGGCGTCACAGAAAAAAATTAAAATAGCCTTCCAAGACGTCATAATTATTTGGCACTAGGTCGTCGTAGATAGGCGTTACAGAAATAAATTAAAATAGCCTTCCAAGACGTCATAATTATTTAGACTAGGATCCAGTCGGGAAAAGTTGGGTAAAATTTTCCTGTTTTGAGGGTAAAACCAAGTTTACTGGTGTTAGAAAAACCAGTATATAGGGACGTCTTTTTTGCTGTTCAATTTATGGTATGAAATCTAAATGTTTATCAATGACAAGCTGTATTCAACTCTCACTAAATATGTGATCAGAAACGATGTCGTAATCAATCATAAAACTTATGAATTTTGGAATGCATGTAAATTTGTCACTTACCTAGTTCTCCCAAAGATTTGTTGGACTGACACGCATGTAAACAGACGGAAGAATATAGAAGATAATTGAATGTATTTATAAATTTTTTTCCAGAGTCTTGTATTGTGACATTAAAAACACCTTAAATATGTTTTAATATAAAAAGAAGTTGAATAGTTTATATTTCTGCATTTTAATTATAAATAAAGAAATATTAAAGAATGCAATAATTACATCAATACTTAATTAAATAAGTAACTATGTTAAGGATTGAAAATAAGTTCGGATCTAAGAGAAGAAAAGAATGTGTAAATAGTATTTCACAAAAAGCTAGTTGTTAGATAAAATAAGAAGACATGTAAAAGTTTGGATTTGTTAGATAGTAGACAAAGCGATTTGTAAATAGTATTACGTAAACTTTTAGCACAAATTATAGTTTTTAACTAGAAAATAGGGAAAGAATAGCTTGCTAGACACTTAGGAAATTAAATCTTTGTATAAGATAAATCAAATAAATCTTGTGTAGATACGCTAATCCTAGTGAACAAAGAAAATGTTCTCATTCTTTGTCTTCATGTAATAAGCGAGATAATCCGTTTTAATGGTGACGCTAAAGATAATTGAGAAATGAAAGACAGATAGAAATCGGGTCAGTGTCCAGTTATTGACCAATAAAAAATTAATAAGGGAGGTCACTAAATTTCAATTAAGAAGTTGATTGGAGAAAATAGCAGAAGTTCGTAATTCCAAAGGTCATGTGACTAAAAATTTGAAATAACCAAAGTAAAGGTTTAGCATCATTCGATCTTTGGAGTTACAAAAATAAAGACTTATTTTAAAAAGAACTTCTGTTTATTTTAGGTGAGTTGATATTGATTTTATAATTTTGTTATAAGTAATATTTTACTTAATATAAGGAAGTAACATTTGTTTAAATTAAATTGCAAAATAAGTAAATGCAAATTGAATGTTAAAGATCTAATATATATATGATGCCAAATTGATTTATGAAGAAAATCTTAATTAATTTTATATTGTTAACTTATATAAAATATATATCTAAGAATTGAAGTATTTATTAAGTCTTATTTAAAGGTTAAAGTTGAAGAATAATATACTTTAAATTAAATGAATTCATTGATATCGGAATGTTACTTAGGTTATAGGTTTATATTTAGATTGTATCATTCAAGGGAGAGAACTCATATTTACTAAATTTAGACCATGCCGTCTTTAGTATTTGGAAACAAAGTTTTTAGGCTTAAATATTTATTGTTGTACTTAATAAGTTTTCTTAACAGTGACAACAGAGGTGTGGGAAACTATGGAAAAGAGGTATTCCGTTTGTATCTTTTAAAGTAGAATATTAATCGTAAAAATGATATTTAACAAGAAAGGTTTTTGTACTGATGAATATGTATGTATTTCATTTTAGCAGGTCTCACACACAATATACTTTAACTGTTGTTTTAGAAGAATTAATTTGAAGTTAAACAATTTAAGGAAAGATAAGCTAAACTTTCTTTTAATGAATACAATGTTGAAAGTAATTAGTTTGTTCTAGGCTTGAGATTTTATTTAAATAGTCATTATATACTTTTATGAATATTATCTAAATGAACATGAAGTTAATATATTAGCAAATAAAACCTTTGAGCTAGATCCCCCTATTTGAATAGATTATTAGAAATACAGAGTTAGTCCCCCTGAATAGTTATTTTTATTTAAATGTCTAATTTGTGTGAGACTGCAATATTATATGATTGGAATATTATTATGATTGATTATTGTTTTATAAATTGTATGTATAAATTGATTCGATCTTTGGAGTTACAAAAATAAAGACTTATTTTAAAAAGAACTTCTGTTTATTTTAGAAAGCTGAAAAACACCCCCCAATCAGCATAACACTTGTATAAAAATCCACAGATCCAATGTGTCTGAGGTTGAGGAATGCATTGCAGTAACACTTAAGCATGCACCAGCTCAAAAAGATGGACCAAGATGTAAAAAGGTAAACATCAGTTGATCAACTCTTTTAATGCCCGCCTTCACTGAAGTTTACTCTTGTACTGTACGTACATACATTGAACTCAAAATTGGTTTCTGTTCTCTAACTTTAGTTTGCCTGAACGACATGTTATGAAATTTATACACAATGCTTATTATCATAAAACACAGAGTTTGAATTTGGAGAGCATCTGTTTTACTGTTCTTTAGTTATCTCCTTTAATATCATTATTTGTGGTTCATAGACACATTCTTCTTTTATTAATTTTATTTATCAAATTATAATTTGTTGATTTTATAGATTGCGTTCATTGGCATATGATATAAGGTCTTGCTGTATTGCAGTAAATTCTAAATGTATTAAGGTAAAATCCTATGAATATCTAAAATTAATTGATAAATAACAATTTTGAGAAACCAAACTTCCTTTTTTAATTTGGATTCATTATTATTTGTAGAATAACTACTGGTTGTTCCAGAAAATACTGTGTCCCCCCAGGGAAGGCTCTTTTTTTTAAATTTTATGTGGGGGTGGTTGTATTTGAAATACCAAAATGCAAAGGGGGTGTTGTTCTTATTTATTTTTATACGCCCGTTTACGGGACGTATTATGGTATACCGTTGTCCGTCTGTCAGTCCGTCATCAACATGTTTGACATATTAACTCAAAAACGCTTTAACCAATTTGCATAAAACTTTGGTGAATTGTTTATATCTATTGACGTGAGCTCCCTTTCGTATTTTATAAATTTTAGATTTTACATTTCCGAGTTATGGGGTTTTATTCATTGAAAAAAGGGGGATTTTCCAGTTTTCGGAAAATAACTCAAGAAAGCTTTCACCAACTTGCAAGAATTGTGGTGAATTGTTTATATCTATTGACATGAGCTCCCTTTTGATTTTTATAAATTTTAGATTTTACGTTTCCGAATTACAGGGTTTTATTCATAAAAAAGGGGGATTTTCCAGTTTTCGGGCAAAACTCAAAAATGCTTTCAGCAGTTCTTATGAAACTTTGGTGAATTGTTTATATCTATTGATGTAAGCTCCGTTTAGAATTTTATAAATTTTACATTTTACATTTCTTAGTTATGGGGTTTTATTCATTAAAAAAGGGGGGATTTTCCAGTTTCGGACAATAACTCAAAAATGCTGTCAGCAATTCTCATGAAAATTTGGTGAATTGTTCATATCTATTAATGTAAGCTCCCTTTTGATTTTCATAATTTCTAATATGACATTGAGAATTAATTGAACTTTATTTGTTTATAGTCTGACAACAGATTTACTAAGTATTGCGCAACAGCACAGTGTATTGCACAACAGAAAGAAATCTTTAAATAAATTGAATATGAATTCAATTCATATAACCAATTTCAAGTTCTTTGACTACATTTATTCAGAAACCTATAATATGTCAAATATTTAATTTCAATCCAAATTCAGACCTGTATCAAGCTTGAATATTGTGTCCATTTTTGCCCCAACTGTTCAGGGTTGGACCTCTGTGGGAGTATCCAGCTGTGATCAGCGAAGCAGTTTATTAATTCTGTCGGTGCTGGGGGTTAAAAAAAGGGCCGTCCCTGGGGGGCGGACATAGTATTTTCTGGAACAGCCATTATTTCATTAACACATGTTCAATTTAACAACAAATTTATTTTTTAAATAAGAACAAAGGTTAACCAAAAGTTATGAATTATTATATACTGTTGAAATAAGGTTAAAATTTCTAACATACATTATCAAAATGTGTATAATTGGCAAAGATACAAACATCTCAGTAACAGCACAACATAATCATGAATCTGCAAGACAGGATATTTTTTAAGAACTGCTGTAATTCATAAGTTGGGATCAGTTTTTTTTTGTATTTTATAATTTATGATTATTTATTTTTCAGAGACCTGAAACCAACACAAGACCAGCTGATCAGAGGGCAGAAAACCAAAATTTGGAATGACATGTATACAACCAACACAAGACTAAAATTTGGAATAAAAATAAAAAAAATTCAGAAACATATTATTATTTTTTTATTGGTTCATGAAGCCAAGAAAAAAGAAGTCTTAACTTTTGGATAGGTCTATCTCTAGTTGGTCAATGGAAAAAAAAGCAATAGTTAGTTTGATTGTATTTCAGGTATTTTCTTCATTTGGGATATTTTTAGAAGTGTGTATAAGTTGTGTAGAATATTTATTTGTAAATTAGACAGTCAGCTTTTGGGCCTTTTTCCAAACTTTTTTCCTGGCTTGTCATTGTGTAGTGAATCCAGCTGAATGAATCTACAGTAAATATTAAGGTATATGTGGTAGTTTGTTGTATTTCTGAATAATTCATTAAAAAATGTTTTCCTTCGTCAAAGTGAAATCTACATTCTAGAATTTCCACTATCATAGTGAAATCTATCCTAGTGAAATCTATATTCTAGAACACTGAAACCCTAAACATTTAGAAGTTGCAGCATGTACCAAGATGTCATGTTGAAGGCTGTACAGTTACCTATAATTGCTAACATCATCAATATTTGATTTTAGGATAGAGGGTTGTCTCGTTGGCCATCATACAAAATCTCCTTTCTCGAATAGTATTATGTGTTAAATTTTTTAAAGAAAAGTTGCTTTTGTTAAATGGAAATGTGTAAATCTTGTACTTCAGTATTGCAAAAGTTAAAAACTAAGACTTTAACCTTAAACAACTGTGTGAAACATTAATTGGACAAAACTACAGGTTAAATGTAAAACATAATAAAAAGTTTTTAGGAAAACGAGTTTTATACATTTGACAGTGAAACCTGGCAAAAAGGTAAAAAAAACAAACTTTGTGACTATATTATACACAGCTGGCAGATTGTAAATAGAGAATCCGGGTCCGTTCGCGCCCATTCACGTTCGCCCCCTTTCACGTTCGCACCCCGGGTCCGTTCGCACCCTTTTTATTGATTTTGTCTTAAATAATTTTTCAATCGTAATTTGGTTAGTGTATTGCTATAAATATTTTTTTTGTTCATTGTTTTAAAATGAAGTGACTTTCTAAAAACGATTTTTGTGTTGAATAATTTTTTAATCGTGTTTTGGTTATTGTATTGCTATAAATAAGTTTTTTTTCATTGTTTCAAAACATGCAAAATAAAGTGACGTTTTTTGTGTTGAATATCTTTTTAATCGTGTTTTGGTTAGTGTATTGCTGTATTTTTTTTTTATTGTTTCAAAATAAAGTGACTTTCTAAAAAAGGTTTTTTGTGTTGAATATTATTTAAATGTTAAGATACCAAACCGCTTTAAACTCAACAACAATAACATTATGAATCTTAATTGTTTTTACTCATACCAAGTTAAATACATGCTAATATAACTTCATGCAGAATTTACATCAAGTTTAGCTGTGTAAACACCATATATAATTAACAGTAATCATAAATAATTAATCATCAAATCAATTTAAAACAATATTTCATTTAAAAAATTCAAAAATTGCCGAATTTTTCTTTATTTTGAGATAAACATCTTAAAAAACATCTTATAATTCATCGGGTTTTTGAATAAAAAAAAGGGTGCGAACGGACCCAGGGGGCGAACGTGTAGGGTGCGAACGTGTATTGGGCGCGAACGGACCCGATACCGTAAATAGAGTACATATCGACATTGTGTCCATCTTTCCTACATAGACAAATTTACAACTTAAAACAGGTCAAAAGAATAAAATATAGACCCTGTTTACTTCTTCAATGGAATTTTATTGCTCCTATCAATCAAATGAGGACAAGGGACATTTACAGTTGTGTTGTGACAACGTCTTATGATGGTAATAAATTACGTCACAAATTACGTTGTGCCAACGTTGTGTGGATGGTTGTCAGCACGTGCATTGGAGTCCACAAATTACGTTGTACCAACGTAATTTTACTACGTTGTCACAACGTAATGTCAACGGATTGTTTACTGGGTTGTCCAAATATAAAAAGAATAGCACGCACGGGGAATGATTACTAAATGCCACGAAGTAATTAAGTTTTAGAGGAAAGTATCGAAAGATAACGAAATTAACGATATAAATTATCTGACATAAAACATATTTGTATTTACGTTGATCGTTCCCGATGAAGTTAAATCCAGAAATGTGCTTCAGACGCATGAAATTTATAAGGTGTTTTCACTCTTTTGATAATGTTATGTTTAAAATTTGCAATTACTTCTTTTCAAAGAATAAGTAGATAAATACATAAATTAAAATCAGAAAATAAAAAATAAAATAAAATCATAAACAGTTATAGGCGAATAAGTTATTTCCTCAACAAAACAAAATCACTAATCTCTTAAAAAAAAGACCAACAGAAATAAAAAGTAAACCAATGATTTTATGTTTAATTATTAAAAATATACGTTTTTCATTCTAGCATTTATATTGTAATTTTTTTATAATTAAAATGTATCATCCACATGATGGGGCGTAACTCCTAATATCATTCTGACACACTAAACGGATCTTAACCCGATCTGAAAATTTTGAACATTACTTTTTATGTTGGTCTGAATTCGTCTAAAACCGTCTTAACATATCTTGTTTAACAGCTAGAGCCTTCTGTCTTGTTTATCTTGACATGAATGAACGGACTGAACACGACATATCTGAACAGCGTCTGAAAGTCTTAAAAAGTCTTAACGTTTTTCCCTAGCGGTAAATTCAGTTGATTCAGTTATATAGATACAATGGATAAGCGTGGATTCTTGAAAAAGAAACCATGAGCCTGGAGGGCGAATGGTTTGTTTTTCATGAATCTACGCTTATCCATTGTATCTATAACTTAAACTATTGTGTTAATTTCTTTTCAAAATTAAAGCCTTTTCTTAATTAGAAGGTATTGTAAGTGAGTTTAAATAACCATGTCATCGTGTCCAACGATGCAATGATAAATCTCAGATCACAATTAATTGGTTAACAAAATACACATATAACACTTCTACCTTTAAAAATCTTTATATTACCAGGCATATGAATATTATCTGTTTATACAAAATAAGACATATTCGAAATTATTTCTAATAAAATTGAAAATGGAAATGGGGAACGTGTCAAAGAGACAACAACCCGACCAAAAAGCATATATAAAGTATATATAATAAGTATGTTATCGAAATTTTTCTAGCACTCTAGGCACATCACGATTTTCTCTCATAGGAATTTGCGAACAAACCTTTGTAAAATTATGTAGTAAAACATATGAAATCACACTATATTTATAAAACAAAAATTGACAAATATAATGTAATCATTTTTGTTTCAAACATGTGAAATAGCCAATAATAATTAAAAAAAAAGGTAAAACTCGCTATTATTACAAAAATATCCACTATAACATGCAAAATTAGAAAAAAAAACAGAATAAAATAAGAATTGGAACAACAGAGAGAATACAGGGATTCGAACCTAACCGACAAATCCCTATCTTTAACTCATTGATTTTAACCATGCTAACCTCGCGGCTACCAACTCATACTATACGACTGCCTATTGTGTCTATATAAAGGAACAAGCCCTGTGTGTCCGATGAACCGATGTATATCAGATGTTCATTTAAATATATAAAATAGACATCTATAGTGTAACCCATTGGTAGCCGAGAGGTTTCGTCGATGTGTTAATGTCAGTCACACATAACAGATTTCAAGGAAGGGTTCGACTCCCAGTGAAGGCATATAAAAATTACAAAAATTAAAGGTAAGTTTTTAAATTAATTCCATTAGTGAACAGAAATCAGTTAATTAGCCAATTCAAATTAATGAAATTAGGCACACAAAGGAAACAATTGAATATAATTTGGTGAGTCAATTTCAGCGGCAGATTTATGAAGCGTTGATTCTAGAAAAAGAATCCACGATAAATGAATAGGCTGACGTCACCACAATGGTTTAAGACTTGATCAGACCAAAATGACCGTTTCAGACTGAAATCTTGCTACTAGTGATAATCAAATGCAAACAAAATAAATGCTTGATCACTGTTTCAATTACTGCTATATTAAAACGCACAAGTTCCTTCCAATACATTTGTAAGAGTTGTCTCCCATACCCAAAGTCTACCCTCTTAAACGGAATTAATTCAAAGCGTTCTCAGATCTTTTTATACTGACACGTTATGTTTGGGTTAATGAACTATAAGCAGTTTTGAAACAAATGTCACATATTAATATAAAATGAGAGATCAAAACAAAGGAATGTTTATTCATATTTTTCATAAGTATTTACAAATTCAGAATCAAGCAGCAGTTGTCCATGACCGTATTAGATAAATGTACTCTCGTTAAGGTTAATTCCTTATCTGCATATTGTTCTTAATATAGAGATCATTTCATAAAACTCTTATTGTAAATTATGCACAGATTAGAACAAAGAACAGCCTACTACCTCTCATGATTAAGGAAATAATTCACTTTTGTTGATATATCAATATCATAAATATGTTTTCTGTGAATTTGATGTTTACAAAATATTAAAATATGCAACACCCTAAGGTTTTTTCTAAACTATGGTATAGATTGTCTTAGCCATCTTTGGCACAGAGTTTCAGAATTTTCGGCTATCATTGCTCTTTAACTTTGTAATATTTGATTTGGCTTTGAAACTGTTGAATTGGGCATCTGGTGTATCAAATAATAAGTTTGGTATATTGATGAGTTTTTTTAACGCCATTCCGAATAATACATTAAACTGACTATTTTTCCACAGATAAAAATGAGTACACAGATTTAACTATACCTTCTGAAGACTAGATGACAAACTCTATTACATTACTTGAAATGGAAAAATCTTTCAGTATTGTTTTATGATTTGAGTGTTCTTTGTAAGTTTATGTATACACAGTTTAAAAGATAGTAAGTGAATGTATTTAAATCATCGATAATCTATCTCAACTACGTTTGTAGATCCCTATTTTTATTTACATCATAGACTTTCAATACCTCTAGTTATGACAGTTACAAACGAATGCCGTTATAGGCAGGTGCATTGAACGCTGACTATTTTGAAT